CGCCATTCCGCAATCGCAGGAGGGTCGGTGTAATGCACTACCAAAACGCCCGTAACTAAGAAACAAATGCTAATTCGATGATGCCGGCTGGCACACTGATTCACTATGAATGTAGGCCGCACCCCCTAGCGGCAGAAGCTCGTACTACATCCGGTTCGCCCTCTATTGACACAGTCTGGAAACTTTCCGATCGCACCTCGTATAGCAAAGATGAAAATTAAAAACATTGTCTTAAGGTTACTTCAGCGTATTCACAGATCCACAGTTAATCTGCAGGCCTACTTTTGTGTTTTCTAAAATATTCTGTAGCCCTTTTTCTTAAGACCTGTCACCTCTGGGCATGTACTTGAACTTCATGAAACTACTTGTTTTCTAACCAAACAAAAATGTCTCATTAATGCCTAGATCAGCATTTCTCAACCTATGGTATGTGCACCGCTGGTGGTATGCGAGCAAATGTTGAGTGGTACGCGACTAAGTAAGAAAATCAAAAGATAATATTAACATAAATAAGTTTTCCTTAAACACATTTGGTTAGTGGTACATTTAATGTGTTAAATTAGAATTAGTGGTACACCAGCGAAAAAAGGGTGAGAACTCCTGGCCTAGATGATTCCAGTCACTACCTTTCAGTAGTAATTTACCTGGTGTTTCTGAGCTGTACAATCTGCAGGAGAAGCAAAATATGACACCAGATTTCTCAGAGTAAATTAGGCAATTTCTATGAACCCTCTCTCTGCTTGGCAACCTCCTCCTATAAAAGTCATCAGGAAAGTGTCTGTTGCCAACATTCTATAGAAAATCATAGTCTGTGCCTAATATTTGCATAAGTACCCTTTCCAGTAATTCCTATCATCTGGTAGTCTAGTCATGTGTCAATGTGACCAAGTGGATGTCGTTTTCCAATTTCAACAGAAACATCAGCCCTGGCATCAGAACTGTTTGTTTCAACTACTGAATTTTCATCTTCCTTTGCAATGACACAATTGATTAATTCATCACAAAGAGTCTACATGTAAGTGTCCAACACTGTCACACAACCAAATGTTCTAAATTGCTCATATCTGGTTATGTTCTTACTGTTAATTACAGATCTGATATTTGATGACACTGAATATCATTCATAATTTTATTCAGAAGGTCTCAATTTCAAACCTCAGCAGAGAGACAGGATATCCTTACTGAGGACTTTTATGATTTCCCTGTGACCTACCACCCAAATAACAAGGAAGTATCCTAAAATAGGTCATGGATGCTTCCTCTGAAATCCTTACCAGTTCACAGTGTAAAATAAATCTAACATTTGATGCTATCCACATTATGCAGTTCACAGTGTGTTAAAAAAAATAAACTTCTGATAGTGAATGAAAGAAATCACAATACAAGTATAACTCAAGTTCAGTTATGTGTTTCTAACTCTATTGTATAACGCATCAATTATACCTAGAGACTAATACTTCCCATTTTCCATTGCTTAGGTCATTCCAAAAAGTCTATTCAATACTTACACAACATAAAATCAAAACTTTAGTTTTTTTAACTCCACTGTGTTCACTCTACTGTGCCTCTGGCAACAAGTTTATAAACAAACTGCCCATAGCCAATTAATGCTTGCCTGATGTACAGTCCTAATAACATAACACTGAGTTTCAATTCTTTTCTTTCATTGATACATATAATGAGGTGGAACAAGGTACTACTGATGAACTTTCAGGCATTCAATATTTGTAGTTTTGAAGTTACAGTCAGATGTCACAATACAAATGGTATGGCCATGAAACATGGACTAATGTTTTTCATACAGCACATAAATAAGCTACTAGCACCTTCCCAGTTCTTTTCACTTCCCTTATATGTGACATCACATACTAGCATAGCTAGACTGAAAGTGGAACAGGTTATGTAGAGATTATGAAACGTCAAACTACTGACCTCCTGCCATAATTAATAAATTTCTGTGAACTACTTTTCACAAAATTTATTTTGTTTTGATGCATTCTTTTCACAAAATGAGAAAATAATGTACAGGTCATGTCCATCTATATGTTGCAACTCTGAAACTGCAAGAGATTTTGATTATATTTAGTTCTAAAGATATGCTCCAAATTTCAAATAGAAAATTTAATTTTGGTTCATACCAGTCCAATATATCACCTACCTTACATAAAACTGAACTCACATAGCTCACTGCGCAAAAAATGTATATGTGACAAAACACCTGTTAATTTAAAATCTTTTTACATAATGAATATTAAAAGAAATATAAAGAAATTTATTTCTATGCAGTGTGAACAGCTTCACAACAATGTACTAGTATCTGCAGTTTAATGGGATGAACTACTAGTGTTAATTTTGTTGATAAAGAAGATGCAAAGATACAACATGGAAAGAAGTTCATAATAGTGTCATGATAAATAACTTACTGAAAGGAATCAAACACAAATTAATATCAATACCAATTATGTTTTACAAAAAATATATTTAAATATGATGTGATTCAACACAAGGATTAAATACTACCATGTACCATGAACAATGGTAGGACACTGCAACAAAAAAGTAAATACAGAAAACCAATGAAGAAAAGAAGTCTGACCTACTTCGGAGAATTATCTTACAGACGATCTGAATTTTCCTACTGCAAAATTTATTTAGTACTAAACAGACATCAAGGTAAATGATGCATGCAAAATCACAATAAATGCACATAGAAAATATGTGTATTCCAATTCAGAGTACACATTCTACTCTCATACACATGCTAGCTTTTAAAAATGTAGTGTTTGCCTCATATGGTTTACAAGATTAAGAAGGAAATGCCATCTACGTTCCATGAAAGATATGTTTATATATATTCACAAAGTACACATACTACTGCAATATGAATTTAAATGCCTATATTTGTCTATTAAGAGCCATGATAGACTGGCAGACTGTAAACAAATTTTTGATTAAAAGCAATAGGTAGCACGAAAACTGCATAACTGATTCAGTGTGTAAAGTTGTCACAAAATATACATTTTATTCATTATTCTTGATTCCACTAGAAAATTCTCAAATTTATCAGTTTGGGAGGAAAATGGTCTAAGCAAAAACACCCAAACTATAATATGTAAGCCACAAGAAATTTCTTTAAATTCTGGTAGGCCATGACATTAAAACAGTTGAAAAAAATGTTGTGTAACATATACTCTCTTTCTTGTTATGTAGTTCATGAACAAATCAGCAAAAAAGACACATTATTTCAAAGTAACTGAAATTCTATGTTACTTCATACAATTTAATTGTCAGGAGAAGCTAATTACTTCTAAAATTAAGCCAAAGCAAACAACTCTTAAGTTCACACAAGCATAAGAAACCTACCACATGTTGAGCAGAAATACATTGAAGCCTTGTCTCGCTTGTCACAGTTGGCACAAGGAGGATTCTCAGCATTGGACAACTCAATAAGCTGCCGCATCAGCATATCCACAGGTGGAAGGGAAGTCCCTTCTTTTAGTGTTGTTTGCTGCCTGGAAATGAAAAACTGCAACTAAATTTGATAATTTTAATACACATTAGGCCATTTTTTATTTTCAGTTTTCCATATCTACAGTACTGTATCGAGGTTTTAAATAAGTATGTTTTAGGTATCAACCTTCCCTAATTCAACACACTCCACCCTGCAACAATGTCTGTTTGCATGTTCAGTTTTTTCTGAATATCCCATAAATGACTATGATATCCAGCAGATTCACTTGGATCAAAAATATGCAACACATGTGAGATGGTTCAAAAGTATTTTGAACTCTCATTCATTTCAATTACAAATGATCTATTTACATATTAACAAACCCTATTACAACAAGATAAATATGTATCATGAAAAAGTAATCAACTTGAGTTGTTTATTACCCTCAATACATTCTTCTATATTAAAAACAGTGCCCTATTAGCAATCTTAACTATTATTGAAGCTATGATGATGTACACTGTGGAGGAAGGGAATACACAGCACAGTTTGTCCACTACTGACATTAAGTGTATGTATGGCCCAGAAATCAAACTTAGAATTTGTAACATCAGAATTCTATGATGCAATATCTACAATATCCCTATCATCCAACCAGTACTACAAACTTCTGTATAAGAAAGGAGGAAAGAGCACTTGTCAAGCAAGGATTAATTGATAGTCCTATGACAAATATTTTTCAATGAAAAATTCATGTATCCTATGAAGAAAACTAGAGTACAACTTGGATTATATAAATTTTATGAGCACATCTGAATTTGATTATTTATTTACTGGAAATTATGTCCATGCATAAATGTCAATTACCAACATTTGGTTAATTGAAATTATGTTACATACAATTATTGGTTAACTGTGTGCAAAAATACAGAATATGACTCTTTGCTAAAGAATCTTCATCTTTTGTTTTTTCTAATATCTTCATGTAATGCGAATGTTTAACAAGATAGCATAAATAGTATTTACAGTACAATAAATTATGTAAGATCTATTAATGTAATAGCCCGGAAATGACAAATTCATAGCTGTAGCTAAGGCAAAGGAGGACCTCAACAGTAACGTTAAAGCAATAAATATGTATGATTTTGAAACATGATATACTTAATTGCTGTGGGTTATATTCCTCATCCATCAAATCTATACTCAAAAAGTCAGCTATATACAAAAGTAACAATATAAGCAACACAGAAAACAACAACAGTACTTGACCTAAAGAAATTTCTGCATTGTATGACTATCATCTCAGCTTGTTACAATACAACCTGTACAAGGTTTCAAGGATTAATTCTTCCAAACATTCTGAATGGTATACTGAAGACAGAACCCTTGACATAGGAATAAACAAATTTCCTATCATAAAAAATCTTATATCTGTAAATATGGATATCTTTTGTGTACAAGATAAAATATCAGTGTCAGTAAAATGAGTTTACAAGTAAAAGAAATGATAAAGTAATATGCAAAAGAGTGAAATACTACATACCCACATAGTGGACAGTTTAGCTTTCCATCGACATCCCTCCCTCGTAGACACCGAGCACAGAAACTATGGTAACAAGCAAGTAAACAAGGCTCCGAATAGTAGTCATCACACAGGAAACACAGCAGAGGATTTCGTGGCTGAGAGGCGTTCTCCCCCGGTGCCCCCTCAGCCCCAGGGCCCTCTGAGGGGTGGTATGCACCCCCTGACATCATCCAGAAACCTCCACGCAGTCACCAAAGGTCACTTCAACCGACTATCACCAGCAGAAATCATCTTACCATGAAAACACTGAAATCGACCAAATGTAAGAAAATCAAATAAAAATACTGCAATACATCGAACTCAAATGAAACAGTAAGGCCCTACCTTTGTATTTTAATCATTGAAGTACTATAAAAATTGAGGGGCAGATGCTACCACCGATACCATTGCTTCACAACACATAAATAATAAAAACTGTAAACAGGAACGTGACCTTTTACATCTGCAAGGCCCTTGGCAAACCCCTGAGCAAGCACCAGATGATTATCGATGAAATTAATTCTTACTCGGTATCCATTTTATGTCTAAATTTCGGAGCTGTTTCTATGACTTCATTGGCAACTTTAATTCATATCATGCTGCCGCTAAGTAAAGTAGTTCGTGGATGATTTTCAAGCAAATTTTCATTCCTTATTTATAACATAATTACAAAGCTGCACTATACATAAAAGAAGATACTGCAGATTGTGTTACTCCGCTGTAACGTTATCTACACCTGGAGAAATGTACTTCCCTGCACTGTTGGCGTTATAAGTATAAGCAATTATAATTTGGTTTTTGTATTTTAATGTACAAATTGTTCATATACATGGTATGACATGACCCGCATACTTTGCTTGTACTATAAAGAATCTACTTCCGTGTTCGTATCTGTGCTGAGTAGTGTCATAATTCCTCATATTACAGGTTTAACCTTTATTATTAATTGATTTTCATCGCTGGTTTGATTTAAAATAAAATATCATGTATACTATTACAGGTTCTACTAGTCCCGCTTACAAATAATGACTAATCCCAACCTATATTGTGAAAAACTGAGATCTAGACAAAGGTGTATTTCATGGTAGCCATTTTAAGTCGAGGGTGTAATTAATTCTACATGTAGGTCAAAGGTCGAATGTCTCTTGTGACCCGACTTGACCCTTGGAGAATTACCACTGATGAACTTACCAAACTGGACATCCATGTAGTAAAAATTTGCAACTTTCATATGAAGATGCAAAATGCCTGGTGTTTTTTTAATTTACCATTTCCATATATAATGACTCGACACTTTCATGGGTAAATAGGGTTGAAGTATACAGAACCAATAACACAGTTTTCAGTTTTATACAAATATATTATCTCATAACCACAAGATATTTAACATCATTGGTCGGTAATGCACAAATTATGCAGTGATATTGCACACAATTACATGAAATTCCATTCAAAATTGGACTGGGATTATTTTATCGAATCACAAGCAATATATCTCACAGAAACTTATCATATACACAAAATAAAATTATTAGAGCCATTTCCTGTGCATCTACAGGTTAGAAAGTTTCCTATAAGATGTGAGCAGCAATTCCTATGTAATAAACCCTTCATGGATAATTTAATGGGAGTAGTTATACAAACGACAAATATTTTTGAAATAATAGCTGGTCATTATTCAATTCCTACTAGCATCAGTGTCCTGAATTAACAATGATGCTTTTCTGATCTATCATTACCAGACACACAAATTAATCACTCAGCTGAAAAGTAACACAATCAGTCCCACAGAATGTATTTGTTGGCAAATGAGTGGAATTCATTTATACCACTTTCACACTTAGGGACAGGAATGACTACAACATACAAATGAAGACTGGTTGACGTCAAACTTTGGAAATGTGAAAACATTTGGAAATTTGAGAAAAACAAGTCTTTAGCTCCATTTTATATGTCTTATAACACTATTTTATGCTAGTCAGTATAACAATACAATTCCAAGTTAAAAGTTAAACTACTTTTTTTAACAACCTGTTGAACCCTGAATGTGATATAGCTGTCATTGTACTGTCTATGTTTTAACATGAGCAACAAATGCAAATGTTACAGAAAAGCACCTCAGAAAACCAACAAAGACTAAACGTAACACCGCAAGTGCATCACTAAACGTTGAAAAATTATATCGCTGTAATTTTAGGCTCTAAAAGAATTGAGTCAGATCACAAGTGACATTCTTCATTAAATCACTATAAATGGTTGCCATCAAATGAAGGAAGAATGTTAAGTGCTGAAGCATTTTTGCCATAAGTTCATCCTTCTGATACACACACCTCCATAAGCAGTATCAGCAAACTCTTGATGTTGACTCTTCATACATAATATAGGCGAACTCTTGATGTTGACACCAAAAGGTCATCATCAAAAAACTTAGTCTCAATAACAACATTTCCACTGTAAGATAAATGAGGAATATTCTATTACAATTCAGTTGCTAATAATCATAATCTTATTTTAATATAAATGCAAGTTTCAAGCTAAGATCAATTTCACAGTTCCAGAAAATATTTATTTTATCTTCATGTATCAGAATTAAACACTTTTGGTAACAGAAGCTCTTGGAAAACAGATGGTGATGGAAGGATAACATTAAAATGGATCTCACGATACAGATAGATGGAACTGACTCTACATCAAGGCCAAAATATGCAATGAATTTTTAAGTATCTACACCACAGTGTTAATTTCATAATATATTTTTAATTATGGTGAGCAGGAGACCATTATGAGTTATTTTGCTCTGCTCTAAAAAAGAACACTACCTAGCCTTTTACTGTGTCCATAAATGAGATAAAATAATCCATTTGACGAGATGAATTAACATGATATAATCCTGCAACTGATAAAACATTCATAAATAATCATTTAATTATTATAATTTAACAAAAACACAAGAAAATGTGTTCTGAAGACATATTTGGTAGAATGATGCTAAAAATATAAATTTTACACAATTTCAAACTGACCATTTTCTTCTTCTAACAAGAAGAAAAGATTTCAAATTCAAATACGAATTTGGGTATTGTCAGTTTCCTTTGCCACTTGCTGAACAAAACTAAGAGTAAACATACACCAAATCAAACAAAGGAAGAAACAAAGAGAGCATAATTGTTGAAAAGAACTTGGGGCACCTACCTTTTATCAAATGCTACTTGTACATGTATATCCAAATGAGAATGCAATATCATATGCCATAAAGTAATTATCTAGTTATACAACAGACAATTGTTGGTTGGAGATGATTTTTATAACAACTATTTGGACTACATTAAATGATGCTATATTTGTTAATTACACACAGATAAGCAATGATTTTAATTTTGAATTTCTTTGCATTCCAAAATTCTTTAAACAATGTAATAAAGAAATATTTTCTATCATCCTGTATGGAGTCCACAAACTCTTGATCTGCGATCTGCACACTGGATACTATGTTGATGTACCATACTTTACTACTATATATTTTCCCATCATTTTTGATGGGTAATTTACTAGCAAGATAAAAAAAATCCACATCTCAAATTAATTCCTTGCATGCAGCTTACTCATTAGCCTAATAATATTTTATACCAGAAGCATACTACAATTCCAGGACTTCCACATTTATAAAACATAATTTGTATGTGTAGCAACAACTTTCTTGCTGTTATTTCTCTAGGCTAAAGTCAAGAGAGATGCTGCACATTTCTAAACTACTGCTGAAAACTAAAGCAGACAGCTTACAGAAGTTTTAATACTAAGTTTACTGGTATATCACACATACATTCTTATAAACAAGAAGAAAGTTAAAATAAAATGATATGCACTTAAAAAAAAGCAATTCATTGAAATTTCTTGGCATTTTCTTTTTTTCCTTTTCCAGTCTTCTGTAAACTCAGCACATTTGTGGATGTAATGTGCATGTCTCACACAACCACCTGAGGCATACAACACACTGAATCCAATCTGCTGTAGACTTAGTTTCCTCATAAAGTTCCAAACATTCCACACACTTGTTTCCATCTGAAAATTCAGGTTCTCCACTATCATGTGGAAGAAATGTGCCATCATTTGATGAAGATAATTATATTTTCCTGTTTAGAGGATATTCTGCATTTCATAGGTTTCTTACTGCTGTTTCTGGTAACAAGTAGAAGCCTGTTTTCCTCATCCTCACTGAAATCAGTCTTGTTATGAATGCTTGCTGCTTGCTTTCTGCCGACATGCACTGCTTTGGTTATCTAAAATATATGGGCGATTCTGGTTGAAGGACCTTGTTAGGAGTGAAAGGATTTACTTGATGACTGCTTGTTATGATGATTACTCAACACCACTTGAAGAAATAGCTGATTTGTTGATTTTTCAGGCTTATTTGGACAACTGACCCCGAAGAACTATCTGGAAATAGAAAAGCATGATCTGAAATTGCTGGCTTCTCTAAGGGATAAACTCCAGTTGCTCAAAATCCAGACACTCCAGTTGAAATGGTTGCTACATGTGACCAAGCATAAAAAAGGAGCTTACCAAAGTGCAAGCAAGTTATCTTCCATTTCTGATCTGTCAGTATCAAATGTTGGCAAGCATGACATATACTTTTTAGTGGTTTATAAAACAAAAAAGGAGTAGTTTACAGCCTGAAAATAATGTGTCCAGACACAAAAGGATTGTCTTTCTTCACCGCAAATTCCAAACATTCCAGCAGGTTTTCATCATGTGAAATAATTTTTAAACCAGTCCATAAACATTTCAGAAGTGACATTCTGATTTTCTGTTCATTGCCACAACAGACTTCACAGGTATCCCATCTGAAAATTTGGCTTTCTCAGTCAAGCCCTTGAATATGCAATATATTGGAATGTATTGTGATGTCAAATTCCAGTTTTTGAACTATTTTTCTACTTGGGGTAAACCCTGCTACTTGTAGTCTTCCATTGTGCATCAGTAAATGCCATCTAGATCCATCATCAAGTTTTGAATCTGAAGCAGTGTGTAAATTAGTCATGTTTTCTTTTTAAATCAGCCATCTACGAAGAGTTCTTTCTGTAATATTAAAGCTTCTGCTAGCTTCCATAATTATCTTGTTCAACTACAGCATTCATGGCATTCATGCCCAGTTGTAATCACAATGTCCAGATACTTTTTCATATGTACACTCAAGATATCTTCATTGAAATAAAAGTAAATAATACAATTTTACTGCTATGCTGTGTTGCTACTCTCTCCTTCACATCAGCTACAATGAAATGCAGCATCTATCCACCTCTAAGGTGTGGCATCTATCCTGAGCCCAGATGATGGATGCTGTACCAAGCCACAGTGAATAACACATGCCTGATGGACTTAGAACATAAAGCACATCAAGAACACTACGTTATAAAACCACAACAAATGTATTAATCATATTGTTTATTTACATTTTACTGCATGAAAATTTTATGTTAAACATTTTTGCTGCTTGTCAAATAACTTTTGACTCACAAATACAGCTAACTCTTCAAACTTTGCTTGTGTGCCGAAAAAAATTCAGTATTCCAGAACCTTCACTTTCACCACTGCCTATTCAACTGGCAGTGCATACATTTCCTTGTGACCTTCAATCTAAATCACAGTGTGGCAACTCTCCCAATGCATCATACTTCTGGACTTCACCTCATATATGAAAGATGTTCAGTAAGCAACTTCCAAAGATGTGTTTATAACCTTCAAACAGATGTCACAAAGAACAAGGAGTAATAGGCAAACCCTCTATTCTTCCATACAATGGACACTGCAATTAAGATGTCTGTCTTCGCAATGTGCTACCTGTTCAATTTCAGCATATAAGTCAACTCTTTCACTCTCCAATGTACCTTTTCCTTCAAATCATAAAAACTGATTTTCTTGAAAGTGGTTCTTCGGGGCTCTGCTCAGGCAGACGTCAGGTGCAAAGTATGGATTGTATGGTAGATGAGCATGCATATAGGCTATATAGCCATTCCCAGTGAAACTGTTCCTGGTGTTGCACTGGGTATATAGGAATAGGCACTGTTCTTGAGGAAGATCACATTCTCTGTGAGCAAAGTACAGTGTTTCCTCTAGATGGCATCCTTCAAGTACACAGTGTTGTGCAATAGCAGTCTGTATTCACTCTTGCCTTGTGGTCCAGGAACTCAAGGAGAAGAATGCCCCTGTGCATCCCAACATGTCATCAATACCTTCTCTGCAGAGTGCATGGTTTGAACTTCTTTTTCATGGGGATGTGGTGTTTTCACTCCAGCGATAAGCAGTGAACCCATGTTTTATTACTGGTGATGATATGACCAAATAACTCTGAGGGAAATAGGGAACAGTGAAATATTCTTAAGTGGACATAGTGTGTTGGCTGATGAGGTGTGCAATGACAGGCTATCAACCTCCAAGGGCTAAAAAGAATGTGATTTTCACCACAAGATAGACTCTAAAGGTCTTTATATGCTACATGTTGTACTAAGAGAGTATAGAGGTGTGCATGTGCCAAACTCAGTGACAGATTTTGGTGGCCAGACAGCAGCTGCTCTGAGGATAGCATCCCGATTTAAGCCCCAAGGACTTCTTCCTCTGGGGGTATATAAAGGACCATTACTCCATAAAGCATTGACCATGCAAAAGATGGCAATGCTTTCCAGACATTCAAATACTGAATGGACATTTGCATAGGCAAAAAAGAGGGTCCAGGTTGAAGTTTATTAAGGTGAAAAAACTCCAGGAATTTCTCTCAGGTGGTTATATTGATTTTCACAATAACATTTTTAAAATGTCAGTATTTCTCAGACATACTGAATTTTAAAATTCTGTAACTGTTGGACTCCATTCTCATATGACCACTTTCAAATATAAGGGGAGATCTTGTGATTGCTCATACATATGTATCAGCACATTTTTTAAAATTACACAACTTGTAATTTTAAACTACCATGTGCTGTAAATGTTAACTTAACAAGATTTTTAAACTGACCATTTTGTTTGACATGAAGAAAAGATTGTAAGTTCAAGTGAGGACTTTAGATTCTGTTCAACAAGTGGCAAAGCACACTGTCAAGCCCTGTTATATCTACATGCTCACTTCAAAACGTTTGCAGGCATCATTTGTGATTCTGGTGCTGCTTCTATTAATGACTGCCATGTATTTGTAGAATTTGGTATAACAAAACCAAATTCAAAGAACCATTCTTCAAGACATCGTCCCTGCAACAGAAATATTTCTGTTAAATAACAATCAATACGCTATATCAAGAAAATATTTTTCATGCTTTCTTAACCATACACAGCTTGCCAAACACGATACATCATATCCGGTGTCACTTCTGCAACTGCGGCGGTGATTCTAGCTTTGAGCTCAGTGAGATTGGCAGGTAAGGGTGGAACAAACACACGACCTTTAATGAAAACCCATAAGAAAAAATCGAGAGGTCTGGAGAACGAGGTGGCCATGCTATCAGCCCTGTTCGACCAATCCACCGACCTGGGAACGGTTACTGAGGAAATCCCGGACTTCTGTGAGGTAGTGAGGTGGTCCGCTGTCTTGATGGAAGTGAATGCGTCCTTCTTGGTCATCTTCATCTAACTGCGGTATGAGGAAATTTTCGAGCATATCCAGATACACGATACCGTTGATGGTTCTCTCATGGAAAAAGAACGGGCTGTACACTTTAGCTTTGCTAAGGGCACAAAGCACATTCACCTTTGGGCTGTCACGAACATGTTCCAGAGATGGACGTGGATGTTCGCTGCCCCAAATCCTGCAGTTACAGGTGTTCACCTTACCACTGACATGAAATGTTGATTCATCACCAAAGATTATGTAGTCGAGTAATGTTTCGTCTTCCCCTTTCCGATGCAACATTTCTGCACAGAATTCCTGACAAGCCACTTTATCTTGCACAATGGTAAATCTGTATGGCTTTAAGTGGAAACGTTTCGTAACACGCGCCAAACGGTCGGTTGTGGAATGCCAGTCTCACAAGACGCACGTCGCGTTGATTTCGCAGGACTACGGACAAAGCTCTCCCTCACTCGTTCCACATCATCAGAAACACGCGGGTGACCTGAAGATTTGTCATGGCGAACAGAACAACCAGTCTCAACAAAATTCTTGTGCCAAGAGTAAATTGTAGGTCTTCTGGGAGGATCCTTGCCATACTGGGTGCGAAAATTCCGTTGAACCAGTCGCACATTTCGTTTCTTTAAATCAAAGCACACAGCGAGCGCGCTCCGCACCTGTGAATGTAGCCATTTCAAAATGCACTGCCGCTTGCGCTCGCGGTGACGGAATTCGGTACTACAGCACAACATGAGTCAAACTTGATTTGTTTTGCTACAAAATGACACCTCAACCGATTCTGTAAGCTTTCTGATTAAATTTCTATACACTTTCGAACTTGTAAAGTCCTTTTAAAATCACCCTGTATTTTGTTATATGGTAGCCAATACATGTTTTGACATAATGTGTTCTATTGTTTTTTAGCTGTATTTATATTTATTTCTGGATAATTTTGTAATGGTTTTTATTTTAATTTCCACCCAATAAATAAGGCACCTCAAACATAGGTACTCAGGCTTCTAGCACTTGCAGCTTCATAATACATGTGGCTAGTAAGCAGAGATATGCAACCTTTACTGTACTTGTGTCACATATTATATGCAGTCCAGCGTCACATGTATTGAACTAGCATACTATTAACCTGTTAAACAAGGGGTTAAGATCCAGCCAGCAGTCCTGCCATACTCGGGTTTAAATCACCTATTTTTATACAATAAGGCCTAAGACTAATATTTCTATTTATATTATATTATTTAGTGTTCTGTCTGATGACAGGTCCATATGAACAGGATCCTTCCATCCTTTTCTCGGACTGGGACCTGTTGTCAGACAGAACACTAAATAATATAATATAAATAGAAATATGAATGATTAACTACAAACAGTAAAGAGAAACTTACCTTGGTTTCTCAATTCAGAATCAGATATTTTTATTCTGTATTAAATTTCAAACTCAAACTTTCATAATAAAATTACAATTCATTATATATATATATATATATAAAGTATGAACTAGATATTACCTTAAATAACACTTTCTGTTCCAGTCTAAACTTTTCCATTGGTTCAACTGAAGAGAAGTTTATTTCTCTTGACACTGCTCGACATTTCAGCACCCTTTTTGGAACCCTTGCTTCATGCTCAATTTCAGGAACAGACCTGGGAAAATTTGTTTCCATACAAATAGACATTTTAAATTCCATAAATTCTAGGCTCAGTAATAGTTACACAATTGGGCGCAATATACAATTAACCCTCTAAATGTATTATAAGGCCTTGCAACACTATTTTATAACTGCTTTACTACTCACAGGTCTTCGTTCAATTGCCATAAAATTTTTCCAGTGTCGGCATCTCGCAAGTTCATCCAATTTCTGTATTTATTCGTTAAGACACGTACCTTATGCGTGCGTTAATGGAGACAAATTAACCTAGCTATAACAAAACATGAAAAAAGGTAAGCTACCAAAGGTAAATAAATTGTTATACATTACTACAAATAAAAGGATACACTTGAAAACCTTTCAAAATATCTTCACCCTTAGGTGCCATTTTAAAATCACTATTTCACTTTTAAAACGATACTCCAGGCCTTAGACACGGCCGTTACCACAAATGACTCCTTACTTCTGAAAACACAAACTGCTGTATGTCCTAAAGGATTACCAACCACAAATACCAACATACCAATTTAATGTAATGTACTGTAGTATTTGTATTACGACATATTATACATTCTATATATAAGTAGCTGTTAAAACAATGTATTTCACCGATTGTATTGTATTTGTATTATTACATATTCTACATGATAACTTAGGCCACTGAAGGATCTATGGAAGGAACATGAATTCTATTCTATACCAACATACGTACACATACGCCATAACAACATAGGTACCTATGTTGGTATTTCCTGTACTACACTAAATTGGTTATTATCACATTGCAGCGTTTGTTTGGATTTAAATTTAATTATTATTCACCTAATAAAATTATGAACACCTTAAACTTCCAGTAAAATTTATAAACACAATATGTGAATACACCAATAAAGAGAAATAACATTTCAATAATATAAGTTATTAGGTTGCATAACTTATTTTCATTATCTTGATTCGTATAGTATCTGTATCTAGCAGACGACAGATGTTATCACGTCAGTTACGTTGCTGAGCTGTGAACATAGATTATTTGGCTTAGTATTTTTGTAGTTTCATTTCTTCAGAAATAATTACAATAAAGTGAACTTTCAGCTGATATATTTTACATAGTGTTATGGCTACTTCAGATGCAGTTGTAAAAACCACTGATGCAAAATTCAATATTCGTGTGGTACATGATACTTTTTCAGCTTCTCTTCTCGACGATGATGATGTCGAAATGGATAATTATTTATTAGCATACAAAGAACTGTATAAGTGAGTGTGAAAGTTTTCAAAACTACTGTTTAAAGTACATCCATAATATAATGGCTTTTTATCTTGTATGGTACAAAATGTTGAGGTTGTTGTATTCCTATCATTATATAGGTAACAACACTGAAAGACAGATCTCACACATAGATGTCAGTCATCATAAAATTAAAATGATAAAATTAATGGTGGCATCAGCAGACTGAAATCCTGTGTTTCTTCTCTGTTTAAAAGAAAATACCACTTATTAGGTTTGGTGTAATGATCCCACACCCAAGACGAAGTTTCTCTCAGGTGCTTCAGTAACAACTAAATTGAATTGTATTAGATCTAGTAGGTTGAGTATAAGAGAACTTTTATTCCTCACTCCTTATTGACATACTCTTAATAACAGCCTGAATAATTGGTTGTGTGTGCAGCTACAATCTGGATAATTGAGGTTCATTTCTAGGTAGGAGTAGACTTTTCTTCTGTCCCGATCAGAACTATATCTGGGGTTTACACAGCCCTTTATCTAAGAGGTATATGGGGCCAAAGTATAAGTTTTATTATTAACCTCTATCTAGTGAAGAGGTCTGGAATATATAGTGCTTTATTTTTTTACCATCATGCTGCAGTGCACAAAACCTTATGCCTGTAAACTTTACCATTTGATTTAAAAGTATAAGTTTGGTCATTTAGTTCATACTTGTGCAATCTATAGTAATGTTTAGTAGCATACATTATTCTGAGGAAAACCTTTTCAAAAGATTTTTGAACATGAGGCTAGAAAGGGGTCATAATATAAATGACCTTCCTCCAACAATAAAACAAATATTTTAACAGAACCCATAATATTTGCTGATGACACAAGTGTCATAATTTCTAATAAAAATTGTGATGATTTCTGTTCAACATCAAACATAATTCTGTCTCATATGAGCAAATGGTTTACTGCTAACAAGCTGCCCCTAAATCTAGATAAAACAAATATAATAAACTTTATAACAAATAACTCACCACAATATGTCTTAAGTATTGGTTATAATGGAAAGTATATACAAGAGTCAATAAATTCAAAATTCCTCGGTTTGAAAATTGATAATCACCTAAATTGGAAAAATCATGTTGATAAATTGATACCTAAGTTAAGTGGAGCATGTTATGCAGTTAGATCTCAATTGCATGTCAGCAACACTGACACACTCAGATCAGTATATTTAGCCCATTTTCACTCTATAATGAAATATGGAATAATTTTGGGGGGTAATTAATCAAGCAGCAAAACTATATTTTGATGTTTGTCCGCATTTTTCTGTGTTGTGCTGTCTTGTGTACAAGTAGAGGCCTTGCGACGGACCAATCCCACGTCCAAGGAGTCCTACCGAATGTCTATAGATCGAGCCAACGAAAAAGTTGGGTACCGGAAAAATGTATAAACATTGTGAAACTGGAAATATATATATAAAAAGATACTCTCTTTACAAAAGAAAATTGTTAGATTAATGGCTGGTGTCAAACCTAGAAGTTTATTTAAGAGATTAGAGATCTTAGCATCATTACTTTAGGTGAACCCTTTGTTTGTATTATGTGAAATTTATGTAATAGTATGAATTGTACTTTATAATATGTATTGTATTATTATTATTATGACTTTTTCCATATCCTGTTTTCATCTGACTATCTTCTGGATCCATGGAATGTAATAAAGATGTATGTATGTGTACATAGTCTAGGGTGTGGTCCTTGATTGCTCAGACACTGGAACCATGTGTTTGAATCCCACTCAAGGCATATACAGTATGTGTGTGTACTTATAATACAATTAAAAATATGTATTTTTTCCAGTTTTTTCCAGCTTATGGGAAAAGTATTTGGCTTTGTTGCATCAGATGTGAAAAGCAAAATAGAAATTCTTGAAGACCTCCGTAGAGGGGAAAATGGAGAACATTTTTCAACTGTAAAGAAAATGATTAAATATGAAAGTGAAAATGGGCTTTTAAATAAATCTGACTACACTTCTGGTAGCCGTACCTTGCTGCGACTACACAGAGGATTAGGTATGACCCTGAAGATGATGCAAACTTGAGTAATAGTAAGTTATGAATGACAGCTGACCAGGTTTTACATTATATATATATATTACAGTTTCTGAAAGAAGAAACATCAATTTATTATTTAGTTTAAAATGATTGTAAAATTGGAGTCAATGAGAAATCATTCAGTGATTTGATGGCTAATGAAAGAACATAACATCATTTTGAATCTGCCTTTATCAATTCTTTAAATTATGTCTGGCAAATTATTATGTGTTACTTGCATTTCTATTAAAGATTTCATCAGGCTATTCCTGCAAAAAGTAGGTGATCTTTGTGATGAAGATAAGACATGTGGTGTTTGTCAAGAAGCTTACAATTCTACATTAGCCAATTTTCATCCTTGGATAGTACGTAAAGGAGCAATTATGGCAATGTATGCTCTTCCCACCAGGGGAGGCTTACTGCAGAAGGTTTGTTTTACATATCAGACTAATTTAGTTAAGTTAAATTTGTGTTAATATGTTCTAAAACAGTTTAAGATTGAATGCTATCACTGACTGGTTAGCACTTCTGCATGCTGTGTTAAGTTCACAGCCCAGAATTTTTCCCCAGGTCCCAGGTGTTAGGTTAGTATGTTAAAAAAGTCATGATTGCTTGTCTCCACAGAATAAATTAGTTAGAAAACCTTGTGGTGGCTCATCACCCAAGGTCAAATTACATACATTTTAAAAAAAAAATGTTATCATCAATTTTACGAACTTATTAAAAGTACTCAAGAACAGAGTAATCTTCAACTATTTGATATCAGTTTAACATATAAGTAACATTTTATGTATTTTCACAGACGTTAAACTCCTTTGCAGGTATGTGGTCCTGATGAAGTGCAGCATGCAATAGATATACTGCCAAAAATGTTACAAGTGACTGATGATGCCTATGATCGCACTCAAAGACATTATACTGAAAATGATCTTCATGACTTGCCTTAGCTTGCCCATCTGGTTTACTGACATTCTGTAAAATGGGTTATTTGATATGGAACAATGCAATAACAGAATGTTAAAAGCTGAACCCTTTAAAGCCAAAGCTCATGAAAGTAATATTTAAAAATTTATTCTGTATCACAAAGTAAATACAACACTTCACCATTACAAAGATCAACTGGTTATTGCTGTGTGAGGAAATATTCCTTGCTTAAAGTGACAGTTATACAAAACCCATAAATACAAAGTGAAGTGTTACTGACTTTTAAAGCAGATGGTACATATAGTTACCATTCAGCTTTAAATAGTTAATTGGGTTATTTGTGTGGAAATAATGAAAGCAGGATTGTGAAAAAATTAATATTTTAAGCATTTATAACAAAATTAAGGTACAAAAGATTACTTTAATTAAAGATCTATACATTTTAATTAAGTTTTTATTCATCTTATTTGGGCAGCTTTGAGAGAAACAATGGGGAAATACCCAGTAACAAAATCTGTGTGAAGTGAAGGACTTTAATTTATCAGTAAGCCATGAATTTTAGATTACAAAAATAATATAGTTCTTTTGCAGAGGGACCACAATTTCTGTATTAGATAGTCCTTAAGATGGTTTCCTTAGGTTAAGTAGAACAATTCACCCAGTTCATGAATGCTCAAATATGTTAATTTGCTTCTTAAGATTAAAAGAGATGGAAAATAAAACAAATAATGGAACTATTGAGTTATGAATTTTGGTGCTCAAATAAGGGGTTGTAATATTTAGAGAGTTAATTTTAGTGACCTTGGAGTTCAGATATATTCATAACACTGACATGGGTCATAATAACTGTAGCTGTTTATCCTGCAAGTAGTTATCCTTCTGAAAGCTTAAGTGATTCAGTATTTCTTGAGACAAGTAACATTTAAAAGGTTCTTTCATAGGTGCAATATATCATATGCTATAACTGATAATCCACCATTTTTCAGATTCTTGGTATTTTAATATTACCCAGTTTCTCTTTTTGTACAACACCTTTAAGAGAATAGCATGGTATACAGATTACATTAACAAAAGTAATTATAAACTTGTCCCTGTGCTTGTATGAAATATGGAAGAGTGAAGGTAAAAGTCCATACATTCTTAACTTCAGCATTAGATGGAGATAATGTTCAGCTTCACATTCCAACCATTATGCTCTTGAGGAAAGGTTACCCATTAGAAAGGAGGTTAGATGTATCCCCATAGTTCATGTGCTTGCAGTTTAAGGAGGGAAAATTCTTGCCCCTGCTTAGTAAAAATTCTGCTTCCATGTGAGCATTTATCAGTGTGGGCATTCATCCGTGTGAGCATTTATAACAGTGGGCTTTCTTCTGTGCTGAATTTTCATGTGAGCTTTTATCATGTGCACATTTATCTGGTCACCTATTTTCTTATGTATGCCATGTCATGAATGTCTCTCAGAACAGCAAAAGTGCTTGTTACAAAAACAGAAATTCCCTCTTTCTTATCAGTGAAGTGGTATTAGTACTAAAATAAAAAATGTGCAATTGTTGGTATTATTTCCTAATGTACATAACAATTTATAATATGTCCTTGGAAACATCTGTAAGAAAATTTTAACAGCTTTAAAGTAATGATTAGATAAGTAGAGAATATGGTTATCAGTTACCATATCACATGGTTAGTAAACAGTTATCAAGGTACTTTGAAGCTTATATATTAAATTAATTATTACTAACTGTTAAGATTATATTTTATCTGTATGAAACTGTACCTGGAATTACTTAGTGAATGTACTTGCTTCCTGTATTATGATTTAGTATGCCATTGCAGTTTATAAAGACATTACCTAAAACACCTGATTTTAGGTTAACTTGGGGGTTATGGTGAGATTGCAGGAAGGAAAGAATGCAGTTCCTATCTTATATGTATGGTTTCAGATATAAATCTGGTTTTCATGTGCCTGCCTGTAATATTTTCAAACATTTGGTTGTTGAATTACTTTAATACTGTTTGAGTAACACACCTGCCATATTTTTCATAGATTTTTGTTGAATATTTAAAATCCCTCCACTTCCCTTTCAAAAGCTAGTGCATTTAATTTTTGTGTATGGGAAATCAACATTCTTGGTAGTATTTTTTGTTATGCAATACCAAAATAAAATATTTGATGTAAGATATATGTGTGTGTTATTTTCTGCTGTATTTACGTTAAAGATCATTGGTAAACTTCTACCAGACTACATGGGTCAACAACCCTGAAGACAGCCATCTTCAGACTCAGCACTGTGAAAACCCCAAATAGTACAATCAACTTCTTACTTTACTCTTCCTTTTCATGGTTTTCAATCAAAGTGTTTCATATTCTTGTTCTTTTTATTCATATTCAGTGAAATGAAATTCATTTATAAATTATGGCACTTCAGTTGATGCATTATGAACTTGCGTAGTGTTATCAAGGACGTAGTGACTTGGCATTAGCATTCCTGTAAATAAAAAATAAAATATGTCAATACTGTCTTAGGTCTGCATAGTATGAAAGTAATATTTTGCATTCACTTACATTCTGTTTATATATACACATACATGCATGTGTTTGCATGCACGCGTGTGCGCACACACGCACACACACATCCTCTCATTTACTCTCTTACATAACACAAAGGTTGCACATTGTCATACATGTCATTATCAAGAAAGGAGAACAGAAGTTAATGCAAACCTTGCAGGAATGTTTATTATCTACTATACCACATAGGTGGTCCATAATTTAACCAAATTGTCAGTTCAGGGGATTTAAACTAATGAGTTGTGATTACATAACTACAATATTATTTATTTCACAATCATGTTTCATATTCTATTGAAATATCACTGTTTCACCATGACAATTCAAGAAATAAGTATACTTTGTACAGTCATGTTCATGCTTTAAAAGCAAGGATTCATGTAGACAGTCACTGAAAAGATACTAGCCATTGTGTAACATTAGAAGTCTGTGTTAGGATTGTGCATCCTTACATCATTCTGCACTGTTGTCATGAATATTCTGCTGTAGACTAATATTGAAGTAAAATTTTCCTTCCTCCCTTTCTTATTTACTTTGGTACAATTTTAAGGAAGTTTGAACATGCCACATTTCTACATAAAACAGTAACATTGTCGCTATCTCCTCAAGAGTTCATAGTCACTGAGCTGCTATTAATGGTTCAAGCAAAGAAGCCTTGAAAATGTCCATGATGCCTGAAGAGGTAATACACATGCTCCTCAGAACAGTAATGTTGAAGATAGGGAGTTGGGTGGATAAAAGTAAGTAAATATGAATAGTGTCACTTAACAGTACGACGCTAATGTAAGGGTGAGTTCTAGACAGCATTGAACATTGGTCTGCCTTGTCAGAAATTTCAGTAAGGAAAAAAGGTCTGTAACTCAGAAAGAAAGCTTTCTCATGCATATTTGCCAGACCTTAACTTACACCCTGCATAGAATAAATAAAGTGAATTAATATTATTCTGTCTAGGATGGGACATGTTCCACACAAAACTAGGATCAGAAAATGTGGTTTAATTTAAGTAATATTTGCTGGTAATTTAAACTGGATTGTGAACAATATATAAATTTAAGCAATTAAATCCTGATCATATACCCAATGGAACACTATATAAGAAATAATTACATTTGCAACGTACCAGCTATGCAAGCAGTAAGAAAGCAGGTTGCACTGCCCGCAATGAAAGCTCGAAATGCTACTTCAGTTATAACTTTCCTCTGACTGGGAGCCAATGGTATCAAAGATCCAATTGAAATAGCAATTGCACCAAAATTTGAGTATCCACAAAGAGCATATGTTGCTATCATTTCTGATCGTGGCTGCAATAAAGATTAATTTTATATCAGCTCTCTTAATTCAGTATTAAAAACCTATAAGCAACATTCAAATTAGATTCACACATGACATAATTTTCAATCTTAAATGTTAACATTATAAGAAATTCAGAAAAAATTTTCATTAGCAAATCAAATGGGAGGAGAGCATTTGGAAGACCTAAGCACAGATGGGAGAACAGCATTAATATGGAAAATACATAGAGTTTGAAAATGTGGACTGGATTCATATGGCAAAGGATAGGATACACGTAAGCAATAACATACTTTATCTTACAGGATTCAATTCAGTGCCTACTGATGCACGAGTTCAACATGGTAATGAATAAGATAAATTGCATTTTTCAGTCAGATTACAAATTTGAATTATGAAGTACAGAATAAAATTAACAACATAAGATTTGTAGTTTTGAAAGTCCATGCAAGAGGAAAGCAGGTTTTATGAATTCAGCACTTATCACCTTGTTGTTAGTTTTATTGATGTAAAAGAAAATAAAAAGTTAGACGTGACGCAAAGTTGTACGGAGATCTAAACAATAAAATGAAGTTCTCTCTTACCGAAAGTTTCTTGTCCAACTTAAGTTTCCCAAGCTGCCCATAAGCTACAAACTCATTTATTGCAGTCTTCACTCCAATGAGTTGAGCGACATCCTCACATTCTTTCCATTCTACACCAATCACCCACGCCAATGGGATAAGAACTTTCCCCATAAGATACTGAAACCAAGATTTTCATATATAATCCAAAATGTTTAAGAACAGGTTTTTAAATTTTAAGTATTTCTTTGGTACTAAGAAATAAGTTGTTTTGAAGCTAGAAAAGAACATATTTATATAACAAGAACAATATGAGTATGTAACTGTTCCTTACCTCAGACGTTAATCCTTCTATGCCCACAAGTATGCCAAGCCAGGAGAGAACACCATTCACGAATGTAATAAATGAAAGAAATCCAATAATATTGGCAATAATTGCTAGCACTAGTTGGAGAGCAGTCATTGTTCCTTTCGTAGCTGCATCCAGCACACCATATTCATCACTGAAATAAGTTACCATAGTCACTCATGCTCTGAAGTATGTATTCAGGCACTCAAATCTGGACAATTCTTTAAGCATATATATTTTATAAACTTATGATGAAAGAATTTTTGACCCAATGACTGATAGTTAAGACAATGTTATATCTTCCATGCTCCCTAGTGTCATGTTTAGATACATCTTTTAAGGGAACCATATTCAGCAATCTGTTATAGCATGGCAACTTCATTCTGAGCCCTGAGGGCAGGGCTTTTGCAGGAGAATCCTCGCCCCTGTCAGGGATTAAACCCTGATCACCCAGCCTGTAGCCAGTCACTATACAAGTCTGAGCAAATCAAAGTGCCATTTTACAAGGAAATTCTAAGATTAATGGAAAATAAATATGGTTGATGCATACTGTTTCTATTACTATATATTTATATCCCAGATTCATTTTTATAAAATGTACTGCCTGTGGGTTTATAGACTTACCCCTTTTCTAGTGTAATGTTTTCAGCTTTGTTCTTGCTCTCTTCTGTTTCAGGATATAAGAGTTTAGAATAACACAGGGCAGCTGGAGCAGACATAACTGATGCTGTTATGAGGTGAGCAGATGAGATTCCATAATTAATATATGCTGCAAAAACTGTACCTGAAATATATGTATAGATATAACTACTGAACAGATCAGGAAAATTCAAGACTGACTCTTGTCAGTCCAATATATCCCATACTTTACATAAAACTCAAATTTTCTTAAATTGTTAAAAATGGTTCACCACACATAAAGTTGGTACATTATACATCACAGATACACAACTTTTAGTTCTTTAATATAGTGAATATTTAATGAAATACAAGGAAAATAATTTATGATTAGGAAGTGTGAAGACTATGCAACTATACATTAATATCTGCAATGTAATAGAAACAACTAATATGGACTAAGTGGTCTTCTGGGTTCTGACATGGTCTGAAAACTTTGATATGTTCCTTCAACACACCATTAACTATGTACATGATTTTATGAAGTTACAACTTGTAAGACCACAATCCACATTTTTACTGCCATAAAAACCTCAAATTTCAAACTAACTACTGCTTCTCAGTTGTACTAGGAGATCCAAGTCTCATCACCAGTCAGTATTTTTCCAGAAGCTCAACATAATCCAACACCTTGCTGAAAGGTCTGAGCAAATTTCTTTTCTTCTCATGTTTTGCTTGCCACTGACATTCTTCACCATTTTATCATTAACTTTCTTCATGTTCTCATCACTGTTCAAAATTAGTATCACAATTTCTTTATTCATGTTCAATTATTCTGCTATTTTTCAGAGAGTCAATTGATGACCATTTCAGTAACTTTTTCCATACATAGATCAAATCTTGAAGGTCTAATGCCGCCAGATTCTTTTTCTATAATACCTTCCCTACAGTCTTGAAATCAGTTCACCCACAAAAACCTGTGTCCCACTCATTCTTCCATTTCCATAGACTTGCTGTAACATTTTATAAATGTAATATTTTTCTCCAAATTAACTGAAAATTTAATGTTGATTCTCTGTTATAATAATGCATTTGACTGTCTCCAGAAAAAGTCAATTTGTTCTCAATTTAATGAACTGACAAACACCACTTACAATAATTAAGTCTTGGTACTGTGTCACATGGCTGCAAGGAATGCACAGCTGTGGTTCTGCAAGGCTGTAGTTTTAATAATTTTACTAGAGCTCTCATGATCTCTTGAAGTTCCCACTACCTGTGCAAGGCATTTAAGAGGCTTATGACGACAATATTCAATCCAAGCTCTGATACTCGAATCTTTCTCCTATGAAAAGTCAAATTGGACTTTTTTGTTTCCTGGCTAAAAGAAAAACGTTTGTAATTGACATGAATCTCAATAGTGTTTCTGTGGGTAACTTGAAACCTAAGACAATCTTCTGAATTTTCTATGACCTTTCTTATTGGTTCTCATACCTCAGATTAGTGTATACTTGTCCATGTCAAACACAAAGGAGATCTTGCACATACTGAACCATAAATGAAAATGACAAGGGAGTACAAGAGACCACAACTTCCTATTGCCACTGCAGCTGACCAGGAGGAAAGTCAGCAAGCCATGAAGTGACTAGTGACATAGGCCAAAGGCCATGCCTACAGCATGGCCACCAAATAACCTTCCTGTACAAGATACAATATCAACCATCTCCCTTGCCCTTTCATTTCTACAGTAAACAAAATCTGGCAAGGTTAGATGACATGTTCTAGGGATTAGTGTAAATATGATACTAATTGTTTATTTCCCAATGGTACATTCACTTGTGAGAGACTGTCATTATTTAAAATATTATTTATATACTGACAAAAGTTTTTGTTCATATAAACCCTATGTGTTTCTATAAAACTTACCAGCAATAGTACCAAAACCTGCTGTCATTATGGCATGCATCTCAGACTTTGTAAGATCGTTGAGATATGGTTTCAACAACAGAGGTCCCTGGGACTAGAATAAATTCAGAATGCAGAAAATTAACTCCATTGATGCATAATTAATTTTCAGGACTGTTTTCTAAAATATGATATAAGCATAGCTTAGAAACTGGTGTGATGATGGTACAAGATGGTAATGAAGTGCTATCAGTCCCTCATTTGAGACTAGCTTGGATCTCTTGTAGCTAACTTATTAATCTACAGATTCATTTTTATATTACCATTCCATTAATAACCTTTTCCCCAAATCCTTTTTTTTCCAAGCTTGCAATCACAAATTGGTATTTACTTATAGTTTCATCCATGCCCACATCAAGTTTCTTGATTTAATAACTGTACTAATACCAGATGACGAATGCTAATGCTAATGCTCCTCATAATGTAATGAACAACTGCTTGTAACAATATACTTACTATGCCAAGAAAGACAGATGCAGCTGCGTTGACTGATTCACAGACAGTGGTTCCCATTAAGACTTGAATAAGCCATCCAATCTTTATGACAATCCATTGCATGATACCGTAATAGTACAAAATATGCACCACTAAGCTCAGAAAAAATACAGATGACATTGACTGGAATGAAAGAGAATATGATAAACTGCGGGAGTTCATGGACACATCCAACTGTTATTAAAGTTGTTAAATATATCTGAAAATGTATAATTGACTGGATAAATTTCACTACCATCAAAATCTGTTTCAATGTAAAAGTAAACTTCATGTCTGGCATCTTTAGACTTATTTTGTAAACATTTACCTTGATATCCTTACCAAATATGTTAAGTCAAAGATAAGTCTGAATGTTTCTATCCTGAGTTTAGTATCATCTTTAGATGGGAGTGAGCAAATGTTGTAATTTATGAATGTGGACCTGTGAATGTTGAAACACTTTAGAATACAACAAAATGTACATTAAAGAGGGAGAAAATATTAGTAAATGAAAAGATTAATTTAAATAAAACTTATGTTATAACAGTGCTGATTATTGAATCAAAAGATGCATCTATTAAAATATAAATGGCAAATAATCATAAACATGTGGAACCAGATTCCAAGCCGCTATTGTCACTGTTAATTGTTCTATCTACAGTTTGTTGCTGTAATGCAGTAGTGTTATTTATCATGCGTTATCACTAACATTCTGGAAGACAAGTAATATCAATGTGCAGGTTTTGTTCAACAGAGCATCTGTAATTGGGAAGCACTCAGGTTATAACTTAGCCACAGACTACCTATTCTGAGAGGGGGTTCTCACGCTTCTCCTTAGTTATATTCAGAAAATAGCTGGGATAGTATTTTAGAATAAACAATAATCATGTCCATATATCTTCCACCCAATAATTTATATTCAAATTACTATTTCTAATTAAATACTAATAACCTCTGTTGTGACACAGTTGTTATATAAGTGAAAGCAAATATTTCATCAGTTTTATCTCTTCTGTAATAATTTACTGTAGCAACTATAAATTTATTCAAACTCTAACTTACATTTTTCTGGAAATTTTAAATTTAATTTAATGAGCTTGATAAAATTTATCATTCACTACTTTTAAACATGTGCCCATTTGTATCCTTTATGAAACCAATATTAGTATTTACAGCAGCATACAATATGATAAAGGAAAAACTAAAGCTGTCTGAAGCATACTCAATGGGACTATCAGAGGGCCTGCCACTCAAAAGGTTATCTGTACAAACCAGGATTAGCTGATGATTCCATTTGCAGTAGCTGCCCTACTCTAACGAAATGGCCATACAGGTATTATGTCAATGTATGACTGGTTTTGTCACTTTGGTGCTTATTTATTGAAACCCAGTGACTGTAAGAAGGTCCCACTGGGCAGAATAATGCAATTTATTCAAGATGCAGAGCTGCTGAGAGAACAAATTATTAAACAAAAATTTGGAACTTTTTCCAATTGAGAAAACCATGTCTTAAATTCATTACCATCTTAGTAACCACATTACAGATTAGGGCGAGAAAACAAAATGGAAAATTAGATTCTGACTAAAATTACAAGCCCTCAAAATGAATTCCCTTTACTTTGTTACTGTTACCACAGGTGGCACAAAGACCTGGTCCTTAACGTACCCCCATAAGAAAAAATCACATGGTGTCAGGTCAGGTGATCGGGGTGGCCAACAAAGCAGCGCATGGTCATTGACAGTCATGCGTCCAATCCAACGTTGTGGCAAATGCTGATTGAAGTAGCCGCAGACGAGGCGGTGGTAGTGTGGCGGAGCCCCATCTTGCTGATAAAAGAAGTCATCATTGTAAGTTGCGGCATTAGCCATTCCTGCATCATCTCAAGATAGGACGTGCCAGTGATGGTTGCCTTGGCGAAGAAGAATGGCCCGTACACCTTCTCTTTGGATATGGCACAGAAAACGTTCAGTTTCGGTGAATCCCAAATGTGCTCAATTGTGGCATGTGGGTTTTCACTTCCCCATACCCGCACATTGTGTCTGTTCACCTTCCCATAAACGTGAAACGTAGCTTCGTCACTGAAAATATTTTTTTCAGCGAAACCGTCTTCCTCCAAGCGTTGCTGCAAACTTGGAGAGTTCCTCTTTCTATCGGCATGTCACATGTTCCCATCCTTTGCACCATTCAAGTCTGGTGATTTTTTGTACTGTGTCAGGGAATTATGAATAACCCTGTATGTTATAAAGTAAAACTTCTTGTAACCCAAATTATAACATATATAATGAGAGTGAATCTACAAAGGAAGTCAGTGTTTCCTACACAGAAACAGAATACACATACCTGAAATGCAAATATGCCTTTATCAATGAGATCACTGCCATAAACAAATCTTGCTCCCATATTGCTATAGTCAAGGAATACAACTACTCTGTCACCAATACAGTGGAAGATATTGCGACCAATAGACCAACGAATGGTGACCAGACCAAGTAAAAACTGGATAAGTAGACCACTTAAGACTGGATACCATTGTATCTGCAACATTACATCACATTTAATTCACTAACCTGTACATTTGCTGTTAATTTTCAGTTGCCAATAAATCCATATTCTTGTTTATTAACCACCTAATGCCATGGATCATAGTCCACCTTGAAAAGCTTATAGTATGGTCAATTGATCAAAAACTGTCCACCTTTTATGGAACCAAAAGGTTCATTACCAAGTTCACAAGAGCCCACTGCCAGTCTCTAAAACCAATCCAACCCTTATTTCCCTAGTATACATTTTATTACCTTCCCATTTATGTCTGTATATATTGTGATGTGCCAAAAGAGCATATGGCTTGCAATGAAGGGGAGGGGCTGCCTAACTCCCCTCCCTGGCTAGTGGATGCAGGCTGTAGGTGTGGCCGCAGTGGAATGTTCCATACAGCATATTCCCCTCCTTAAAAGTACCTTCAAGGAAGCGAATCTTCTAGGTCCTAGGCCTGGAACATTTCACGGATGAGCCAACGGCTATAAAGAGTCACCTCCCCGAGTGCTAGTGGTCTATGGCGAATGAAGCGAAGAGTGTAAAAGAGTGAAGTCAATGGTGGGACAGAAACGAAGAGCGTGAAAGATGAAGTCTTAAGTGAAACAGAAGTGAAAGCAAGAGAGTGCAGAGCCATTGAGTGGTCTGATGTGGTGCTGAGGGCTGAGAAAGGATTGTGCATGTGTGAAGAGCACTGGGTTCATGGACCGGGGTGATTAAGGAGCCAGTGTGTCCAGTGGGTTGCTGAGAGCTGAAAGCTGCGTGCGAAGAGCACTGGGTTTGTGGACTGTGGCAGCTGAGGAACCAACGTGTGTTCAGTGGGGGTGCTGAGAGCTGGAGGCTGCGTGTGAAGAGCACCGGGTTAGTGGACTGTGGCGGCTGAGGAGCCAGCATGTGTCCAGTGGGGTGCTGAGAGCTGAAGGCTGCATGTGAAGAGCACCAGGCTCGTGGAACATAGCGGCTGAGGAGCCAGCATGTGTTCAGTGGAGTCCTATGAGCCGAGGGCTGTGTGTGTGTGTGTGCAGAGAGCACTCAGCTTGGGGACTAGGACAGCTCGACAGACAGTGTATGTGAGCGGAAAGTGTGTGCAAGTCACATACCGGTGGAGAGAGACCTAGAAACTGTATTAAGATAATCACCTGAGTGGGTAGACTTTGTAAACTGATTTATTCTCAATAAATCAAGGTTGACATAGAGTCAATAGTTGATAGACGATAGGCATCAACATCACAATATTGATAGGATAATATTCTGCCACAATATTCTAAGGAACATACCTGTGAACGAGATTTTGAGAATATAAATCCCAGACCCATGATCACAACTATACCAAGACATGATATAAGTCTTTCACTGTCTCCAATAGTATCAATACCAAGAAACACACCTATTGCAATGAATGGCAAGAAGCATATCACTGTCTTTCTGTATCTGAAACAGAATACAATGAACAATTAATTATACATGAATACTAAAAAGAGTTAACTGTCTAGGTATCTCCAATGTGAACACAAACTGCAGTGGTTGAATGGTCAGCACTCCCACTTACCATATGGGAGATTTCAGATTAAATTTATTGACTTGGAGGCCAGCTGTCCACACTAAGACTGTCCTCAGTCCACACAAGTAAATGCTAAAATAGTGCCTTTAAAACATGTCATGACTGCATTCTCTTTAATCTTTCCCACCATTCATTATCATTTTCCCATTCAACATTACAAGAAAACATCTTCAAATAAACATAATAAAATCCAATGTGGATCCCCAGTGTTTCTATGGGAATAATGGTTTCAAACAATAATGCTTTTCCTGGCACACTCAACATTAATTTAAATTCAACCCTTACTTCTCAAGATTTATGACAAATACTTTATCATTACAAATGAAATCAATTTTAAAATATCAAAACATCTCCAATTTAAAAATAGGACTATTTTCTATCTTTACTTTCACACTGTTATTGTTTAAATACCGAGTTTGACATGGCAGTATCATTTAAAAAATCCCCTGAACTCGTGGCATAAAATCATGCTCAGGCCAGGAGGCTAATGGCCACACTTTGGCATGATTTCATGCAAAGGAAATTTCTCATGTTCACTTACCTATGTTCCATTGCAGGATTCAACCACCTATGCACTAGTTTAAAAACATTATTATACAAGGCATTTCCATAATGACTTTTTATGTGGAAATATGCAAGTCCAGAATATATAAGCACCACAATAATGATAAGCATCCCTAGTCCATCACACCATTTCAAACAACGGTCCTCTGCAATACAATAATTCTAATTAGCCTTCAAAATATACACTTAATTATACTGATCTTGAAAAGAACATTTCACATAACAGTTAAATTTAATTTGTGTGTGTTTGTCTTTGCCTTGAAAATAAAGACAAACTGGTTCTCAGAAACAATGAAAGATAATCACAACAAAAAGTCATCACCCAAATATGGAAATAAGATTAGCTAAAATATGAATATGGTTTTGTAAACATATTTTACTACTTCTAAGAGACAAATGTGGGGTCCATAGGGGCAGTGAAGTGTTGCTACTAGATGGCTAATAGAACCTCTCCTCCCCGAATATCAATCCCACCTTCTTGTGGTGGACCCTGTTATCACAAACGAGGCTCTGGTGACCAAGTATGGGTGGGATAACCTTACCATATAGTGTGGAGAAAATGCCTGCTACAATCGGCAGGCCTGGTGTTGAGTGAAGGTGGCAGCCCCACCTCCAGGCTAGGGTGTGTTAGGCCAACAACCTGACCATTCTGAATTTAAACATGTTTTTATAATGTCTACAAGGAAAATAGCCGAATCTGTAATTTGTTGATGACTCAATGCTCACGTAGAAGGATATGAATAGGACAGTACAATGTGAGGACTTTATATCAAAAGGGTAGGCTGGCACAACTTAACAAAGAAATGAAGAGATACAAGCTGGAATTTGTTGGAGTAGGGAAGTACGCTGGAATGGAAGTGGACAGACAATAACTACAAATGGAAACTTGTTCATATATTCTGGAATGCGCACATTAGGGGGGTGGGGATCCTATTCAACAAAAGAATTAGAGATGACTTGTTGGACTGGAACCCTGTGTCTGAAAGGATTATCACTGCCAGAATAAAAACAAAATTTAGAAAGATGTTAGTTGTTCAATGTTATGCACCAACCGAAGATGCTGAAATTGAGGAGAAAGAACAATTCTATAGTCTACTGGAAAGAACACTGATTAACATACGTAAGAGTAATATAATCCTCCTGATGGGCGATTTCAATGCCAAAGTGGGGAATAATAACGAGGATGTTGAGCACATTATGGGGAAGCATGGTCTACCTAATCATAATGAAAATGGTGATTTGCTAATAGAACTGTGTGGGAAACATGGCCTGGTTATAGGTGGCACACTATTTCCCCATAAAGATTGTCACAAGGTGACTTAGGTAGCCCCTGGATCGGGAGGAAACATTCAAAATCAAATAGATCACATCTGTATCAGTAAAGGATGAAAAATGTCACTCTTAAATGTTGGAAATAAGAGAGCTGCAGAAATGTAATTTTATATCCATTATAAAGTAACTTAGAAGTTCAATGATCTTTTAACAAGAATTATGGTCTTGTGATTAGCACTTCAATTTTGTATCTGGGAAATTTGTGTTTGAATTTTAGCTCAGAGAATACCTAGTATGACTGAGACACTACAATTTAATACGTCACAACTGCTTCCTTCCTGGTTATTATCAAATCATGACCATCCTATTAGTCAACTCCACTATGCAGGTGTTAACGCATTGTTAAATCAAAATAAAAACTTCAAGGCTATTTATTTTTAAAATTTAAGCTCATAGTTTACATGTGAGATTAAAATTCTCTTACCTTGAAATTTCCAAAATATAATTGCAGATATGACATAAACAAATACACAAAGATGTGACATCCAAATCATGAATCTGTGTGCAGCACTTTTATAGTCTGAGAAATGGCAATTCCAGAATCCACTACCTCCGTTTTGTGACATACTTGCCAAGTTATCTTCGCCAGGTTCTCCTACAGGAATTTCATTATTCTGAGGATGGAAATATAGAAAACATAAATTACTTGATCTACAAACTGTAATTCATACATTATGGCAAGAGGAATGTTAGAGCTAGTAACATTAACAAACTTACACATATAAAAGTTAATGAAGTTCATAGCATATCACAAACAAATGAGTTTCACTAAAATATATTTGAAACATAAAGTTAAGCTGAGAGATGTTCATGTAATGCTGTAAAATATACCAAAAAATGTCAAGTATATGTATGAATTGTTTAACCCTTGCTGACAGTAGAGTACAACTAATGCGCAGTCCAGCTGGTCATGTATCACAGTAGCACACTGCTAACTGTTAAATCCTGGCTAGAAGTCACATAGTAAAGGATTCAAATCCTCCATCCATACAACAAAGACTGAAGTGCTTGCTCTACCTTAAATGACATCTGTTCATTAAATTCTGCTTCATTATTGTACATTTCAGGTTTCAATAATGTAGTTCTTCTATGATGAGCACTTATTGTGGGCTGGTCTTTATTTATTCCTATGTGATGGTCACCAGAACTACTTCCTGAGTTTAGTGATTCCAATGATACAGATTCTGACATCTTCTGCAAAAAAGATTATAAATACTTCTAAGTTCCTAAAGTCACTTAATGACACAGTTATGTTGTCAGCACCTGGATGATGGAGAACAGAACGCAGGGCCTTATGAAAACAAAGCAGGAGCCCTGACCACTCATTTAAAACATTCGGTCTTGATCTCTGTTCCTCCCTCCCACATAAACCAACAAGAAAATTCATTTCTTTATACACTTTAATCTTTGCCAATAGATGGTGCACAGAGAGTAAGTTATGAACTGAAACAAGGAAACATTTCATTACAGTCATACAACATATTTTACAAAAATATGTTTTCTGATGCTTACCTCATGGGAAGAATTTAGTTCACCAGAGCTTATTTTCTTTTCACAAAGTTCTTGACCACTTACAGACTCATCTGTTTTATCTCTGTTTATTTATATGTTGTGACCACCAAAGACAGAATCTAAGTTGGATAATACTGGCTGAATTGAATTCTGAAAATAATACACACTAGATACAAGGAACGTGATAACAGAGTGGACACAACAGATTCCAGTATTTCTTCAGCCATAAATATAAATCCAACACCAATAGGACCTAACTCTCAGACTCTCTAGAAATTTCTCAGTGTTAAAAAAAGCTCTGTTTACCTGTTGGCAATCACAGTACCATGTAGGTGACCTGGTTAGTCCTGTAAAACTAGTCTGCATACAGGTTTAACCTGTTTCTCAGTAGGTGAGAGAGAATTGAAAGCCTGACAACTGGTACAAACATTCTTACGTCTACGAGAAATGAATTGTGCATGAAACAAAACAGAGAGGGAAAAAATAAAGCTGTACAGTTATCATTGGGTGGCCATACACGCTGCGAGTTACCGGAAGACTTACGTCTGTGCAGACCAACCTTCCGGAAAACCGGAGCGTGTGTGTTGAATTTATCCGGAAATCGAGCCTCCGATAAATCTGCAGTCGCTTGATTTTTTACCTGGAGGTTTACAGAATGTCTACAAGTCGTAACGTGTGTGGGCAGAAACGAGGGTAAAGGCAAGACTTGTAACATTTAGTCATCTCAATCAGTCAGCACAGCACTATACAGCCCTGTTTGTTTCGTCAGTTTCTAGATTACCATTTTTGGCGTGATGGCTGACATAAGATCGTGGCCGAATTCATTCCAACAAACACTTGAGAAACTGCGTATTTGAAACAAGATGTGGATGGTACTGCAAAAAAGATACTGTAGTAAAGAGGATAAACAATATGCGCAGTTCTTAAAGAAAAGAGTTGAAGAAAGTGGCACAGTGTAAAACAAGCGGCGCGAACGAAGTATACGATCCATCTCTATGCTAATTCCACGTTGGATTTTCTATACGACCAGGTAGTTATGCCAGTCCGTCGGCTCTAACCGAATTCCATTCAACACATTTATGCGGGAATGTTTTGGTCTATCTAACAAACTTCTAACCCACTTTGAATGTTATGCCAGTCCGTCGGCTCTAACCGAATTCCATTCAACACATTTATGCGGGAATGTTTTGGTCTATCTAACAAACTTCTAACCCACTTTGAATGTTTTAGCTTTCTTTTGTTTTTTGGACATTAAAGTAACAGCAAGACCGATTACAATCGTATCGACTTCACTGAACATGTTGTAACATAAACTCAAGAATGAAAGACTGAGCACAAACCTGCCACAAAGTCTCTACGTGTGTGGGCTCACAGAGGTTTGAGGCTTGCCTTCCGATTTTAATCTTCGAAGGCAGGCCTTCCGGTGAGTCGTAGCGTGTATGGCCACCCATAGACATATAATGACAGGCTGCCCTTGAAAAGTACAATTGCGTTCACTATAACTTGCGACCATTGCAAAACAATGTTCGGCTTGTTCATACATTCAAAACAGCATAACACCGATTTCAGTTTTGATGCAACATTCAAAGTGTGTCTGTTATTTGTATACAGTACCGCTAAATTAGATTTTCCTCAATAACCAGAATTACTAACATCATTATTAATAATTCAATCTGAAAATTAAGAATGCATATATTATGAAATTTGGATAACTACGTATTTTAAACTTTTCTTGATTTTTCACTCAGACAATACTAATTTCCATGAGTTATTTTTGAAGTCGTCAACAAAGTTGGTTTGATCTGCGTGCAAAACAGGGTCCATATTAAGCCTGTAACTAATGAATTACTAACTCCGTGGAGCAGAGTTCTTCTTATGAAGCTGACAGCCATTCATCTAGTCAAGAAATTCCACACCACATTTGAACCCGAACATTCCTTATTGTATTCAGAGGAGCCCACCACTGGTCCCTATCCTGAGGCAGATAAACCCAGTCCACAACACTGCGCCTTATTTTCCTATGATACATTTTAGTATTACCCTTCAATCTATACCTATGTCTTTAGAGCGATCTTTACCCTTCAGGATTCCCAACTAAAATGTTTTTAATTTCTTAACTCCCCATGCAAGCTACATGTTCTGCCCCCTCATCTCTCAGCACCCTGTTCTGTTTTTTCCCTTTCTGTGAGAGACCAAGTTTTGCACTCATACAAAACAACCAGTAAAATTATATTTTTGTACATTTTAATATATAAACTTTTAGATAGCAGGTGGGTAGACAAAAGATTCTGAACTAAATGGCAGCAAGCATTCTCTGGATTTAATCTCATAATTTCTTTGTAAATTCAATTTTGATTTGTTACTGTAATTCCTAAATATGTCAACTTTGCCATACATTCAAAGGATTTTTACCTTTATGTTATCATTTTGTTTTGCAGTCTGGTGACAAGTTGTAAACTTATTTCTACATTTACTTGTTTGATATTTTTTTACTAGGACCTTCCTAATGGTGTATTCTAAAGTAACGTTGAAGAGCAAGGTGTCCCACTGCCAAATCTCACATAAACTGCCTGGAAACAAACATGGACCTCAATGGTTGGAAGCTGGTCACAGCTATGGCATGGCCTATTCTGATACATTTTAATCATCCTAACTAATTAAATCAGTATTCCAAATTCAGTGAGAATGCTGAGTAATACTTCTTTGTTAACCAAATCGTAAGCTCTTTTGAAGTCTATAAATAGCTGATGTATCGTACTCCTATTTTTTATCCAATAACTGTTGAATACATATCCTGGATATATGCGAATCAGAATGAAATTCAAATGACATTTTTGGTAAAAACTCCAGATACCAAATGTCATCAAGTTGTGTTCATTCCAGAGATATATAATATACAAAATGACACACAGACAGATCCTCCGTCATGCCTTCATTTTACACAAAGGACACACAAACACCATCAGAAATTCAGTGTTCTTGTAAATAATTTCAGAACTATCTTTACCTAAATATGACCAAAAATTACAACATATATGTAAAGTACATCCTGTAATAGAATGTAACATGACCCAAGATACAAGTGCATCCACAGATAAGTCTCATTAATAAGGATTCAAAAGACCATAAATTTGTCCCCTTTTTGTACAAAAGTCCCTGCAGTGTTTGTCATACTTTATGAATCATTAATTGATACAGTTCCATGTACTTAAAAATACACTAAAATTTAAAATATAAGTTTTATCAACTAACAAATTTTATGGTGGAATGCATGAAAAATATATCATGATACAGAACAATGTAGTATTATACAAATTATTTAAAAAACCATATTCCTAGTTACATAAATTTTCATATATTGAATAGTTTTTAATACAGCACTTCTCATACTATCATATTACCAATAAAATGTAAAAATTACAAAACTTTATTGAAATGTGAAATGTTTTTATGCATTTACTATATCAGATTGTAACAAGTATTAAAAGAGTGACTCACCATTAATGTGACATTTAGAATTACGCCTTCATTATACAAAGAGGTGGCTTGCTGATGATGAGGCACAGTGAATCTTCAGCATCCAGTCTGCTTATCTGTGTACTTTAAAGTAGGTCATTATGGCAATTTCACAAAGGTATGTGGATCCAAAAGGATGGAGTACAGGTACTTACTGTGTTGTCACCAATGTTCTTATATTCTCTTCTAATTACACCTAGCCAGAACAAAGCTCTCATCTGTCAGTTGTGGCATGCACTTTGTTGTGTATTTCACCTTGACAAAAGTACTTCAACAGTCAATAGATTTTGTCACAGGGTTCATAACAGTTAATGTCAGAACTGGAAGCCACTTCTATGCCTCCTTACTTTACAGGACAGTGTTGTCTTTATCCACCCTCATGACATGTGGTAACACTGTATGTCCAGTCATCTAGCTCTCCCACACTCGCCCACGCGCTCCCATTGGCTCGGGGCAGGCTACACCTCTCACATTCCGGCCCTATAAACCTAGCCCCACACACCCTATTGGCATATTCATCACCCTGATGACGGAGGCAGTATGACCTCTGAAACGTTGGTTAGCATCGACCAGACTACACGGCGCAACAACCCAGAAGACAGAAATCTTCAAGCTCTGTATTCCTCACTTTTGTTACTTGTCTCATGACCAGTTGCTTACCCACTTCTACCATTATTACTGCATGAGTGCAGCATTACATGCACATGATTGAGGAAAGACTCTCGGATTACGGGCCACATCAGGTGGTTGAGTGGTGAATAAACCATATCTTCCGCCAACGTTTCAAGAAAAATCTCTGCTCTCATCCTCGGGACTGCTGCATAACAAATATAAACCCTTGTAGTGCACTCACGAACTGCAGTTACCATCGGCAAGCATGCTACAAAGGATCAGACTTATTACATAGCAGCCCTAAGGATGAGAGCAGAGATTGTTCTTGAAACGTTGACAGAAGATATGGTTTATTCACCACTCAGCCACCTGACGCGGTTCATAACCCGAGAGTCTTTCATCAACTTCATTTGCCATGAAAGCTTCACTTTATACATTACATGTACATGCTTTGAAAAGCACAAAATAATGAAATACTAAATCCTAAAGCACACAGCTCATATTTCAATATATACATGTATCTATCTTCAACTTTTATATTTTATGGTTATTGTATTTTAATGGGTTTTTATATTCCATGTTTTAATGTTACTTCTAATACAGTACCTCTTACTTCTAATGACCAGCACATCAGACCACACATATGTGATAGGTTACATATAGTACTGCATGCTACCTGAAGATGGCCTATAGAGGCCAAAACATGTCATAACTATATGTACTTATATTTGTATCAGCAGCAATTCTAATAAAGTTGGTGTTAATAGTGGTATGAAATATATTATTTTTGTGTATTGATGGACTATTGAAGACAATGTTTGACAAGTCCTGTTGTTGAGAAAGTTACTCAGCATAAGAGGAATAAATTTATTTTTTGCACTCTGTTAACTTTCATATCTAAATTTAGGTCTTAATGATATACACAAACATACTTAGCAAAACATTTGACATTTAAGTTTCATGTAAATAAGATGGGTATTCAATTGAATTTAACCCACCAAACTGAAATCTTCCTAACATTTAGTGTGGACTCCAACAACAAATTTCACTTAAATGCAGAGTAGCTCATTCCTTTCTTTGCAACCTTATTAATGTGTGACTGTAGTGCAAGAAACCACCAGTTAAGAGTTCACTTCCATAATATAATCACAGGCTACTGCATAATATAACTGATGTACTGTCCTCATTCAGAAGGTGATTTCAGTAAAACCAATTTACTTGCCTGATATTACAATAACTTCTGAAAGTGATGTCCTTAAATATCCTAGAATATTTCACACCATGTAACATATTCTGTGGCACAAACTGAAGTTCATATGAGTTCTATAATAATACAACATATATTGATATATAAAGCTTCCAAAGTGTGTATGTTATTTATGCTTAAACTTTATGCACAGATAAAAATCACACACATTCAGCCATAGTCCTTTTTTACTTATTTGTTCACTGACAAATTTCTGAAGTGCCAACATTAAATGTTTTTTAATGTGTGCTAGTGTAGTGTCCTTCTGAAAAAATTATAACTGTTTTCTTCTTCAGTTATTTCTTCGAAGGGCTCCAAATTACTGTTCACATATTGCTCTGAATTGACAGTGTCAGAACAGAATATGGAGTCTATAATTCTTATAACATTTACAGCACATTATACTTGTCATATAATAGGATCTTGTGAATAATATGAGGTTTTCAGTATCCCAGTGACATGTGTGCTGGGAGTTTATATAACCAATGAGATAAAATCAGGATTCAACCATCATGAACAGAAATGGACAAGTACAGTACTGTGAATATTTCTAAGTAGCCAATTAGAAAAGTTAACTATTCAAATTAGGTACGTAAATTGAAGATGGTGCACCATAGACATTCTCTGTGGCCAAAATTTCAGGATATTTATGGTTCAATTTTATTATGCTATATCTGAATCTCACAGTGTCATAATCTGGTTGATACATCCTCATATCAGCAATAAACCCATTTCATGTCACTTCTTATATAATTTTGAAACATATGGTTCACTGAGTAATGGTGAATCCTGATGATGCCAACAAAATTTACAACTACATGACGTTTTTTCTAAGGAAATCTTAACAAGAAGGTACCTCACTGTAAGTGAACACAAATACAAGAACCCTCACAGATGACTGATCACTAGAACAAATCACAATATTTAATGAGAATGATGTATATGTCCAAAGTTGCGGCAAACTCTTTGCCCTATGCAGAGACTTACTATGCTGTGGCTAATGAATGTCCAAGCAGTACCTTTGAATAAAATACCATGAACTAATCGACGAGTCACTCTGTGTTCTGTAGAGTCATTTCATGCACCTTGTGTGAACACTTAATAAAATTCTCCATTCCCACCCCCACACTGAAACCATCACCATATGTGGTCTCAAGCCATAATATAATCTCTGCTGTTTTAAAATATCTATTTCACTATGCACTAAACTGTTTATTTGATTTACCACTGATTTCTACTAGTTGCTTCAACTTCATTAAAATATTCAAGTATGCAATACAGTACAATCTGCAGTCAATTTAGGATCCGAGGTTCCCACGACAGTGAGTACGAAGACGGTTGTCATCTGAGTTTTAGCACTGTGTAGTCTGGTATAAGTTTACCATCGTTTTAGAGGTACCTGCTGCCTCTGTAATCAGGGCTACCAGACTGCATGGTGTTATAACCCAGCAGACAGCCATCTACAGCCAATGTGACCACACAATCTCACCTATAAAACTTATGTATCAAAAACAGCCATTGTTACAGGTGAGGATAAGAGATCTTCATCTGATGTTAACATTCCTGGAAAGGAAAGAGTCAGTCCAAGTACAGATTAATAATGTTGTAAATGGATTTTGAGAATATTATACTTTTATAAATATCCCTATTGTAACTAATGAGTGGAATTCTCGGGATATATTTTGGTTGACATGAATGTGTAGGCTTTGTAGTTATTTTGCATCACTAAAATGTATATAAATATTTAATGAGAAATTACTGTTCACACATAATTACTTCTAGAAATTCAAATAAGCTAGAAAAATAAAAAAAATAACAAATGTTTTGAATGATTTGTTTGACTGCTTCAGTCTGTACTTATGAAAAAGAATATGATCAAAGGTGTCGATATCACATTACCATGAGAAATACGTGCATCTTTATTAAAAATACAGTGGTATCCAGAACATAATTCATATTTTCTTGTAATTATGTATATACACATATTCATGCACACCACAGTAGCAATTAGATTGTAATTTGCAAACAGTATTGAGAAAAGCTGAAATGTTTAATGATGAATAATACTTTTTAACGTTTCCTGAATTAATTATTAATGAAAAAGGAAAGTTAAATTGTTTTTAGAAACTGCTAAGTGTAACTACAGTATAAATGTAAAGAATGTCTTATAATTTATAAGTTAGTGATCTACTTTGTCACAGAAGGACTTTCTTTGGCCATTACCTGTTGCCTTGATTAATCATGATGCAATATGTTTCAAAGGTTATGGTGAAAGGAAATTACATCTAATTTGTCAGGCCAAGAAAGAGCCCCTCCTTAATTTTTTTTAAACTATCTATCTATTGATCTACTATTTTTTAAAAAATGTATTGAGGTTAAAACCTGTTCACACTGGAAAGACACTAATACATCCTACACAATGATTCTTACCAGTTTTTACCCTCACTTTCCTAACTGAACACAAATAATGTATGTTCATCATGAGAAAAATGAACAAACAAACTCTTTCAGAAGCAGTATTGACACAAGTTAATAAATCTGACTTTTAAATTAAACATTAAACAGTATTAATAATACATAATTATTGTGACTTTACTAGACAAGGGTTTTTCACATGATTTCATTAAAACTAATATTCACTCTTAACTAGTTGAAGGAAACAGATTTATTCTATACTGTATTAGAATGTGGGCTCAATCATAGTTTTATTCCCTGTATTAAATATGTAATTTAACTTGTAGCCAAGAAGGATTGCCATTCACTTTTATAACACTTGCAGGATATGTTTTGTTTGTACAGAATCCAATGCAAAAAGAAGACAAGATGAACACATCATTGGGAAATTCATTATTTTCATAATTGTTTCTGAATTACATTCAGATATAGGATAAACACATACAAACAAATTCCAATATCAATGAGTTAAAAATATGCTTAATGAAATTTTACTCCATATATACAAAGTAGATAGACAAATAATGGAGCATTTACAAGAATAAAAGTGCACTCATGCATATAATAAAATATGGCACAAAATATACTATTGACACAAAGGAACTTTACACTTTCAAAATGATACAGAAAACAAAGAACTTCACACCCACGTCAGGCAACAGAAATACTCTCAAAGTTTTGTTTCAAGGACCCGGGTGATTGTTGTTGCACATCTCCACTACAAACCAATAGTTTTGAAAATGGTACCCCACAACAGAGGAGTTGGTGTGTTCTAAAGGCAGCAAAAGAAGAATCTGAAACAGCTGTGCAACATGCACTTCATACACAATTTCACATGGAAACACCCAGCTAAGAACCAATTTAGATTGCAATCTTTAGCAGAGTTGAGGCAGTGAATCACAATTGTCATAGCTTTGATCATAAGGGACACTGCACAAAGTTTGGGATGGGTTGGATTATTGTCTCGACATCTGCCACGTGACTCATGCAGCACATACTGAGTGCCTGTGAGTTGTATACAGAACTTTGAGAGTTTTTCTATCAACTGACATATTTGTAAAATTCTAATTATATCACTTTTTTTCTGTATCATTTTGAAAGTATAAAGTTCTTTTGTACTCGCCTGCTATATACTGCTAAGTGCCACTTTCACTGTGTTATCCAATTTGCATATGATGTGTACTTTATTCTGATAAAAATCAATAAATGGGCATACCTTCATAAGGAATGTTTTTTGATACTATCATGATTAGTGACATATGTGAATGGGATGTGGACCTTGATACAGGTACTCTTAAATTTAAGTCACAGTTATATTCCAAATTAAAGCTGTAGAGGGTAAATTCACATAAACTGAAGAGAGAACCTCCCTTCCATCAGATAATCCTCCTCAGCCAAAAAAACAATATTCTACTCCCCTTCCTCACCACTTTATTCAATTGGTCAGCAAGCAATTCAGATTAAAACGAGTTCTATTAATTGAAATCAATGTAGTTAGTTGCATTAAAATGAAGCATGCACATAACAAGGAGTAAATGTATATATGTAATCGTTTCATGAATTTTGTAATAATGCCTCCTTCCTCACTCATTTTCTTCATTAAGCTGAATATAATTTCCAAAGCAATTATTTTTCTGTTCAATATACCAAATAAAAATGGTAATGAAATTGGTGTTATTATTCTCTTTCCATCTTATGAGCCGGGATAGCTCAGTCAGTATAATGACTAGCTACGGGCTGGACGACCGGGGTTCGATCCCCGACGGGGGCAGAGGATTTTTCCTCTAGCCTCTGCGTCCAGACCGGCTCTGGGGCCCACCCAGCCTCCTCTACAATGGGTACCGGGGTCCTTTCCCGGGGGTAAAGCCGGCCGGGGCGTGATGTTGACCACTCACCCCCATCTAGTGCCGAGGTCAAGGAAGAGAGGAGCTATACCTCCACTCACCCCAAACGCCTACAAGGCGTATAGTGGGACAAACTTTACTTTACTTACCTATCTTTCTTAAAACAAAAAACAATGGGCACATAAAAAAAAGCTTAACTTCATAAGATGTTGCCCTGGTACAACAATGAGGTGTGGGCTGAGGCAGACACTGACAGGCTGCACAAGGATTATATACTGAGAAACTGTACAAAACTTGCAAAATACATCACAGAAAGTCTTCTAGGAAAAATTGTGATAATGTATTGCTGCGACCTCAGTCACAAATAAATAAAAGGGTGAATAGTAAATTTACAAATATGGAACAATGACTGTTGAAACAACAGAATCTGAAACCTACCAGCTATGCTTGCAGTGAGGAAACAGGTTGCACTGCCTGCAATGAAGGCTCGGAAAGCTACTTCAGTTATTGCACCTCTCTTCTCAGGAGCCAGTGTTATTAGTGCTCCAACAAAAATGCCTATAGATCCTGGGTTTGAGAAACCACAGAGTGCATATGTTGCTATCATTTCTGATCTGGGCTGTTGGAAAAGTGCATTATGAGAGCATTACTCTGATATATGCAACATGAAAATCAACTGATAATCCTTTTAAGGCTGATTCACACATTCATGAGTTTCTTACATTCATCTTCACAAGCAGTCTTGTTTATACTCTCTCCATACTATCTTTCATTCTTGCTAGCTTTCTCATGCATGTACTCACACACACACAGACAGACATCTGATTAAGTGCACAACAGTAGCAGCAGAACCACCAACACATACTTTCTCTTCCTTTAATCACATGCAATTTGAGTGCATATGTCATAACTCACAGTATGTTAAATTAAACAATAATGAGATCAGACAACACTGCAAAAATCATTAAGAACTGATAGAAAAATATATTAAACTAACTCCATAGTACTTTCTTCAGTAATTCAGTTAGCAAGATATTACTTGCTTTTATAGAATGTGAGAAGTTTATTCACTTTCATGTTAACAAATGTATATTTCTGGACTACATTCTGAGTCAGACAAATTCAAATGTCACTGTATATCTCTTAAGATCCTACCATCTATGCCTAAGGTATAAAATTCTAAGGCTATGAAAAGAAGCATGTTT